GAGAATCAGTTCTAAGGTCCCCTGAGAGATATGAATATCCTCACTATAAAAGTCCCCTACATGAAACAGCATGACATTGACATATAACTTATGCATATCATGTTAATGCTTTCAAACAATGAATAGTTATTTGTAATACCTAGTACAATATCAGTGCTATGTAGGCAGTTACTATGCTTTAAAAATTTAGATCAGTTTTCACTTTAAAACTTCTTGAATATGTTCAGACTATTGTTAATTGAACCCATGGATGTGGATCCAGGGATACTGTCACGACATGAGATCACATGTCTCCACCTCTTTCAAACATACCCAGGCCCCAACCCTCCTCTTCTAGGCTACACACTGTTCTGAAAATGGGCAAATGTCTCACACAGATTTTCATGTCTTTATGTACAGTTGTTTTATAGTACATGTAGGATCATAGTCTCATGCACAAAAATAGGCTAATTTTATGTGAAACAAATTGTCAGAAAGTGCTCATTTTGGACTAAAAGACTGTGTCTATATTTTTACAATGAAGCTATGCACATCACAGATTCCAGAATCTGGACTGTGTACAAACTCAAGCTTAAACCTGTATGTAGTCTGTTGAACAGCTCTCATGTTCCATCAGCTCCCAGAACCTCTGGTGGCCTGGCAGAGAAGCCACCAACAACCAGGCCTATGCAGCTGTCACTGCCCAGTGGCCTTGCCAGTCCCACATGCTGTTGGCTCCTACTGCTTATTAGAACCTGCCAGTTGTTCAGTGGCCAGCAGAGTTGGGGGGATGGTTCTGTGTCCATCAGCTAGAGTTGTAGCAGTGGAAGAGCAGGACTAATGGCTGCCAGGGAGGCCTGGGTATAGATGGAGACCAGGATGGTAAAGAGAAATCAATCCAATCTTTGTTTTTCTCTACTTACCCACCTGTGTGGACTCTTGAAGACACTTTCTGTACAAGGGCATGAACTTAGAACAATCTAGACATGGAGTTGCACATAGACACACCTTCCTTCTTGGTGTTGCATCTACAGAGAGCAAGGACATCAGGAGCTCTAAGCCAACTGTTGAAGACTGTAAAAAATAGAATCAGGACCCAGGCTGGATATGGTTGGGTGAGAACGTCTAGTTGTGACAGACAGAGCTCTGCTCCTAACAGCTTCTACTTCAGTGAGTACTGAGTCTTGGAACTGTCTCCTGGAGTATGCAATCTCTTAACACTGCAATTACAAAAGCACTGGGCCACATTCACACAGCTGTGCTATGATGCAGGCTGCCTTGGGCTGTGTTAGACATACCTGATCTATACTATTGCCATAGCTCTCAGATTGGTGCCTGAAGCAGCAGAAGTTTATTGTATCCCAGACCTGGAGGGCTGGAAGTCTGACAACAGCGCATCAACAGATGTGTTGGCTTTCCACACTGTGACAAAATGCCCAAGACAACAGACTTTATATATAAAGGTTTCTGTCATGGTTGCTTGGCCCTGTTGTGCCTTCAGCTGCAAACTAGATCATGACAGAACACATGGTAGGGGAGTTTGTTTACCTCATGGGGGCTGCAAGCCAAGATGATCAACATGGAGAGGAGGGCGTAAATATCCTTTTCAAGAGCACACCCCTTCAGTGACCTCACTTCCTCCTACTAGTCTAGACCCCCTAAAAGTTCTATGATATTCCAAAGTGCCCCAGGGGGGCACCAAGCTTCTGACACAGGGGCCTTTTGGAGGTAGTCAAGCTCCAGACTATAGCAGCAGTGCTGGTTCATTCTGAGGAAGAGTCTGCTCTAACATTTTCACTGACTTGTAGGAAGCCATTTTTTCCTTTGTGCATTCCCACTAATGCACACCTCCGTCTAATTTCTCTGTGTTACCAAGAAGCCAAATTGAATGCGGCCTCCTCTTCAATGATCCAATTTTGGGCTTTGTCACCTCTGTAATGACCTTAGTGCCCAAAACCTCACATTTGGCGGTCCTGGGAATTCCTGAATCCAACATACACCCCTTTGTTGGGGCGGGGGTGGGGTCACAATCAAATGTATGTAACAAAGCTTTACCTAAAATGGATTTTAACACTCTGCCATTAGACAGAAGTTACAGCCAATGTTTGCTGGGTGCTCTCTGTCCATGCTAAGTGTTTTATGTGTACCTTCAGTTTTATTCCAACCTTTGAAGAAGTTTTATAACATCTGATTTAGAGATGATAAAACAGAGGCTTAAAGAAACTAGGCAACCTAGGCACACTCTACAGCTGGTAAACTGTGACTTCAGTCTAAATTGGAATGGCCCCAGAAGCAATGTTACTCATACTGGATGTTCAGTTGTTGGGGGACAATTAACCAACATTGAAGCCAGTATTTGTTTAATGGCCTTAACATTTCTTCTTATGTAGCCAGAGTTCATGTGCCTTTTTCTCAGTGGCAGATGATCATAAAAACCTAGTTTTTACCACCCCACTCCCACCCCAGGAGAATCCTTCCTTTCCCTGAAAAAAATGTCTAGATATTCTGACCACAAGGACCATCTCTTTAGAGCCCGTTAGTTTTCTAAAGAGCATCTTAAGGTTTCATTGCAAACTGGAGGTGAAATTGAACACTGTCCTCTGCAAATGAATTAGCTTAATGTACTCCTAGTAAATAAAGCCCCACGGCTCTTAGGAATGGTGTCCTGTTAAGCCAAGTTTTGTCCTTCCACGGAGTTGTAGCAGAACATAAGCTGAACTCTTTTTTTTTTTTTTTTTAATGGTGAAAAAGAGTATATTTGGAATTAGCCAGCTGGACTCAGTTTAGATGATCCCAATTTTGCTGGCAACATCCAGAGCATCATAATCAGGAGCCAAGCGAACATATGCCTTCTTCTCTCCGTCAGGCCTTATGAGGGTGTTGACTTTGGCCACATCAATGTCGTAGAGCTTCCTCACAGCCTGTTTGATCTGGTGCTTGTTGGCCTTGACGTCCACAATGAACACAAGTGTGTTGTTGTCTTCTATCTTCTTCATGTCTGACTCAGTGGTCAGGGAGAATTTGATAATGGCATAGTGGTCAAGCTGAACTCTTAAGTAAATCACACACTTAGGTTATGGCAACTACCATGACCAAAATAACACAAGGTAACGGGAAGTGTGTGTTACCTTGTGCATGAGTGTGTGTGTGTGTGTGTGTGTGTGTGTGTGTGTGAGAGAGAGAGAGAGAGAGAGAGAGAGAGAGAGAACCTTTCTGGGGTCTTCTGGTGAGAACCCCACCCCCACCCCCGTGCAACGGGATTCCTGTTTTACTAACGGTAACTCTCACTCCTTTGACATTGCAGCTGGCTCCTGGCTGGCATCATGGGCTCTCATTCACTAGAGAGGGTTCTACAAAGTAGTGGTTGAATTTCCTCAGTTGTGAAACTGCAGGTCTTACCTATGCAACCAGGTGACTTTCTATGAGAGATAATTCTTGCAAGTGTTGCCTGACTGAGCTGCACATGATCCTGGACACCTCTATGAAATGACCCCGAGCCTCTCTGCTTCAGAGCCTAGCGAGGGAGACAGAGGCCTCTGGCAGCTGTGGAGAGGAGCAAGATGGCCTTGGTTTCCTGCCCCTCTATATTCCGTTTTGCTCTTCCTTCCCTTCCAGCTTCTGTGGATTCAATCTACCTTTTGTCTGAACCAGAAAGGACCTCAGGCTGAGAGCAAACTGAGTCATTTGTTTATGGTTAGGTGAAAGGTCAGGATCAGGCGGCTGCACCTGGCAGGAGCAGCCTGTCCAGGAGCAAGGCAAGAACATTTTTAAGAGCCTCATCAGTTTGCAACCCTAGGACCTTGAGCATGGAACATGGTGTTGTAGTCCCTAAATTCCAATGGGTCAGCTTCCCAGGAAAGAGGAATGTCAGGTCTGCATGCTCTACCTGCTATAGAAAGGCCACAGCTAAGCTGGGTACACAGTGGAGTGAATACCATCACTGGGAAAGGCCATTCTGTGTGGATGGGGGCCCTTGGGTCCTGGGAAGGAGAGGGGACTCTGTGTATGGCCCTTGTTTTTCTGAGGCTCAGCTACCACACAGAAAATCACCCAGAACCTTTGAGACTCTTCTTACTGGGCCAAAATGGAGGTGGAAATTCTCACAAGTGACTTTTTTTGTTTAAACATTGTTGACAATTGTGCTTTATGTCAATTTGACACAAACTAAAGTTGTCTGGGAAGAAGAAACCCCAATTGAGAAAAAGCCCCACTAGAATGGTCTGTGGACAAAACGGTAATGTAATGAATTTTCTTGATTGATGATTAATGAGGAAGGGCCCAGTTCACTGTGGGCAGTGCCACCCACAAAGTGGTAGTCGGTTGCTATAAGAAAGAAAACTGAGTAATCCAAGAGGAACAAGCCAGTAACCAGCATTCCTTCATAGCCTGTGCTTCAGTTCCTGCCTCCAGGTTCCTGCCCTGACTTCCCTCAGTGACAGATGAAATAAACCCTTGTTTCCCAAAGTCTCTTTTGTTCATAGTGTGTATCACAGCAATAGAAAAGTAACCAAGTCACCACTTTATCTAATATTGTAGCTCCTCTGCGTGATCTTATAATGGACTTCTTGCAACTGTTCTACCTTGAGCCACCTAGTATCCTGGGCACAGCTGTGAAATGTCCCCCTTAGTGCCTCTATTTCTGCGCCTTTCATTTCCAACGTGTATTTGTTGTACAAATTGATGGGATTTAGTGTGACGCTTCTGCCTTTGCACATAATCTGCATTCATTAAACCTAATCCCCTTTTTATCTACCCTTCCCCCTCCTCTGTTTGCATCACAGCCTCCATCTTGGTAGCTCTTTGAGTTAATAAGTTAATCAAAGCCAAGGAAAGGCCCATGAGGTTCCCTGCTTGGGCATGGGAATCCACTCAAAGTCCCAGGATGCCCCTGTTTCAAGGTTATACATTTCCAATTCCTTGCCCTGCCATCCACTGCACTATCCCATTACCTGGAAAAACAGGCTCATCTCAGTTGTGAAACTGCAGGTCTTACCTATGCAACCAGGTGACTTTCTATGAGAGATACGTCTTGCAAGTGTTGCCTGACTGAGCTGCACATGATCCTGGACACCTCTATGAAATGACCCCGAGCCTCTCTGCTTCAGAGCCTAGCGAGGGAGACAGGTTTGTTTAAAGCACAGGTTCTAGTAAAGGGACCAACTCCCCATTTCGGCAGCCATGACAGTAACACGTGTTTGTCTGACCTTGTGTTAGTCACTAGAGGTTAGGTGCCTGCTTCGTGACAAGGAACCCTTATAAGATCTCTATGCAGACGCTTCGAACTGTCTTTCCTAGCCACCCGCCATGGTGGTGGATGAAAGACTGAGCTAACATGGGGTTAGCTCGTTAACCAACTATAATAAAGCCTCGTGCAGTTTGCATCAAGTTTTCAACTCTGCCTGGTGATTGGGGTGACTGAGGTCCTGGGCCGAGATCCTGGAGGCCTGAGCTTCAGGGGTCTTTCACTAGAATGTCCATAAAATAAAATGTTTCTGGGGCTGGAGAGATGACTCAGCAGTTAAGAGCACTGGCTGCCCTTCCAGAGGTCCTGAGTTCAATTCCCAGCAACCACATGGGTGGCTCACAACCACCTGTAATGAGATCTGATGCCCTCTTCTGACCTGCAGGCATACAAGCAGGCAGAACATTGTATACAAAATAAATAAGTAAGTCTTAAAAAATAAGTAAAATAAAATGTGTATAAACTGATGACATGACTGCTCCCTGGAATGGTTAAGGGGGAGATTTTTATTGTAGATTTATGAGTTAGAGAACAGTCAGAGGCATCTGCAAGAGTCCAGACCAGAGAGAGGAAAAAGTAGACTAAACATGGCCAGCAGCCTGGGTGTGGCCAGTGCTATCTGCAAGACAGGGGAGAATAACAGGGAATGGAGAGCAGAGAAGTCAAGGTGAGAGAAGCAGGAGCAAGTGGGTGGGGAAAAATCGTGAAACTAGCAGGGTGTTAAGGAGAATGAGTATGGGGGGGCAGAAGGCTCTGGGCAGGAGGGGTTTAGAGTGGGGAGGAGGTGAGATGGGCTAGCTAGGGTGTTAGCAGACAATCTGAAAAGCATAACAGGTATTTGTGATACCAAGGGAACCTGGAAGCTAGCATACACTTTGATATGCTAATAGTCACCATGGGGAGCCATTTGTCCCTTCTGCTAGGGATAAGGAAAATGACTTCTTTTCATAGATGGGAACAGTCTTCACAAGTTCCTGGTGTATACTTGTAAGGATTCAGGCATTATGCTGGCCTGCCCCTGTCACCTGGCAGAATGCACTCAGGCAGTACCTTGGTCAGCCCAGGGTTCCATAGTTGTGTAGTCAGCACACAGGTGCAAAGGACCCCTTTAAAAGAAAGACTGCCACCCATTTATGCTCTTTCCTGCTCTCTTCTCTCACCCCCTCTCTCTCCCTCCTGCTGTTCCCCTGGGGTAGGCAGCACTCTTCCTGTCTCCCTCTTCTGTCCTCTCTGTCTCTGTGTCTCTTTATCTTTTTTCTCCTTTCTCCCCTTTTTCCCTTTCTGATAAAACTTCTCACTAAGCTCTGTCTGCCTAGTATGTTTGCCCCATCCTCATGGAATCTGCCAAGGTTCCCCTGGCGATTTCATAACAATGCTGGCTTTTTATCTAACCACCAGAAATCCTCCTGTCGTCCAGGTTAAGCCCAATTCTGGGTATTTGGATTGCCTCTTGGAGTTTAGGAAATCGGGGTCTCCTTTGGACCTAATAGTTTGTATCTTTGAAAGACAGGAAGGGGACATTATTGTTAAAGAGACAATTAGACAATATCTTAATAACATGCCATCAGCAGACAAGTTCATCTTATAGCCAGCCCAGCCCAGCTATGGGGGTGTTAGTGGGCATTCCCTTTCCCAAGGCTTGGTTTCCTCATTATGGAGTCCCCTGGGTGGGAGTATGGAACTTGACCTGACCAAGGCCAAACGAGCTGGCTCCTTAGTCTCCCTTCCCTGTTGGTTTGTGGTTATGGGAGTGAGGTTTGGGTGCCACCTAAAGTGGTCACACCCAATGTCCTTGAATTCTTTGCTTTGACAAAGTGAGGTTTAAGCCAGGCCGTGGAGGCACACACCTTTAATCCCAGCATTCAGGAAGGCAGATTCTGAGCAGGCTCTTGAGTGTGTGTGTGTGTGCCTGTGAGCACTGTGAGCAAGCATATGTGCCTTTGTGTATGGGTTCCTCTGTGTGTGTGTGTGTGTGTGTGTGTGTGTGTGTGTGTGTATGTGTGTGTGTATGTGTGTGTGTTCGGGAGCTCTTGTGTTAGGGGGGAGCAAAGTGAGGTTTAAATATTTACCTGAGGCTCACAGATCCATTAACTGAGGGACAGTTAGGGTACAGTAGGCTCCATTTACACTTGTGAAGTAGAATTCCTGAGAGGAAACTGTGTCTACAAAGGCCAATCAAATCTTCAGTGACTGTGGAGAGTCTGGGCTCTTCTAAGGTTGGGAATCTAATTACAGTTTCCCCTGGGCTATCTTTACCTCCTCACCTCCACCCTAAGAACCACTCCTTGCCCCATTCTGTGTCAGACCCAACTTCCTAATAAAGAGATAAGCATTTTTGGAGTATATTAAAGTGTTGCGAGTGACCTCACACTTTCAGGCAAGAAAGAGCACACGTATCCAGAGGTCAGGCTCCCATATGTTTTCGGGAGTAATCCGGGAACCAACACCACAGCCTCATCCCCAAAATTCTCCAGATCAGCAGTCTTAACCTTAAGGCACCTGGTAACCAATATTGATTTTAATGCCTCACCTGAGGCTCCTTACAGTGGGAGGGTAAGTTCCCATTCTCTTAATGGCAGGAGACATAGAAAAGAGCAAAGTTTAAAACACACAAAGACAGACTTGAACGAAGAAAGGAAGTGTGTCAGACCTCAGTGAGGTAGATGTTCCTACCTAATGCACCAGGGGTACCAGACAGACACAAAGGAAAAGATGGAAAAGGAGGAGGGTCCCCGAGCTCACCTTCTTGAGGACCAAGAACATGAAACACGCCCGGGGCCAACTCACCGAACAAGCCACAGAAGAGG